AAGCTAATGTCAGTTTTCCTATACACAAATTTAGTTTTCCCACTGAGTTTAGAGAACAAATTATAAACAATGTGTTCGTCTCCAATGCCCGAAACGGCTGTTTAGATCGTATAAACAAATTTAGACGTTCACCCTTAAATAATGCCTTCCATGCATCACATGACCTCGGAGGTAAGATTGATGTCGCTGTTATGACTATTGTGCGTGAAAAATATGAATTATTGAGGTGTCCATTGATTCTGCTTCATCCAATATTGCGTGTCGCGCCGCGCCTTCAGTTGTTCATGCTTTATTAATTCGAAAGCGTTAACTGTCCCACGGAGCGAAGCTGCCGTTGTCCGTAATCGTCTGCAGCAGCGAAACGGCAGTTTAATTCCCATTCGCCGAAAGCACAGCATCGCATATGCATCATCACGGAAGCCGTGGAGCCTGCGGGGTTTGCCGCGCCTGTGCGGTGGGGGAGCGTGATCTCACCGCCGCAGCACCGTGTGCAAAATGAAGACATGGCGCGCTGCTTGTAGGGATGCGCTGCGTGCAAAGATTCTTTCGCAATCCTACTCGTAGGCAGCCTTAAGTGTCTTTAGCGTACGATATACTTTTGTTCATGCACCACCACCAGGAGCTTGCTGTGGTTGTAGTATCTTGGAGTGTCTTAAAACCTGCTAGGTTAGCCTAGCACGTGTTACTGCCATTGGCACACCTTACGGGTTGCATCTGATATGGGGGAGTGCGTCATTCGAGGGCATTGTGCACGCTTCGCATTAAATGGGAGGTGACGTCACTAATGCCTTTATATGACGTGTGTCATAAGAGCGTGCGGCGTTTCGCCAGATACGGGTGATATCGCACGCTGTTGGTGATGACAACTGTTGTCACGTGGTGCTTTATTGCGAGGGGAGGATGCTTAACGCGCCCGCAGCGCTATCTGTTGGCTACTGTGCGAAGTCTTGACGTCGCACGGCCAATGCACTCTCTCTTCGTGCGTTATGATCTTCCCCGTGACGTTTTGAGACCACATGAGAAACTAAGGTTCGTCACTCAAACGCCAGCTGCGAGCGTCGACGGTCGACTGCTTCGCTCCCGTCATTCATACGTTGAACAGCTGCTTGCGCTCCCGTTCGCCTCCTGATCGCGGCGCCGAGGAACGTTTTCGGATTTACCAAGTGGAGCCGCTTGATAAATCTTGCGAATTATAATTAAGTATGCGTGATTATGATGAAGCACGAATGATTGTGGTGAAGTTCGTATGCACTCTCTACGCTTTGTATGCTTATTCATTTCCTGCTCTGGGCTAGGCACGTTTTTAGAGCGTAGCACTTTGCACCCGTTTATAGGTTGAGCGGCGTCGGCGTCGCCGTTGGCGTCGGCGTAACTGCGCAAAATTTAGCGGGTAAACTGGCGTCAAGTGACCTCAACACTAATTCAATTCCCCGCTACATTTAGCGGGGAAAATCACGTCACATGACTTGATGTCACGTGACCTATGAACAAATTCAGCTTCTCAGCAAGATTTAGCAGGACAACTTATCGGGCATTCATTTTTTTTTCGTATATTGGACGTCTTTGCGGCCGAACCTGACAAATGCCATTTTTGGAGAACTTAGACCATAGAAAACTCACATTCTTAACAGTAACGTAATTTTGTTTTAATTCAAAATATACTTACATTTTTAATAAACGTGTTACAACTAAACAGATGTTTACATACTCTGCGCCGCAGCACGAAATATGTAAACATTACACACCTCAGACTAAGCCAAATTTGTTGATTGCACTGATACTTTTACTTTGCTACAGGGAACGAAGTGAAAAATGGAAAGTTACTTAAATATAATTCACCTCAAATTTCTTTTTCTGACGATTGCGCTCCATCACTCAATAAACGCCATGTGATAATTTGGTAATCAAGGGTTCTTTCTTAATGGTGGAAGATTGAAAATATACGGGAAACCTTCGGCATCTACCAAAATATTGAATGCACAGGTGTGCGCACTCTACATTTTGTGGTGCAATTAATTAAATAAAACAAGCTTCAAGATGGGGGCCTTCGAATTTAAGAAACCAAATTTTAGGTATGACATTTTTCTCTCAGGTACTTCATGAAATGCAAAGGTAAAGTCATAATAATAACAATTGCCCCGAGGAGGGTGTCATAACGAAATGTTTTTCGTTCCGGTTCAGGGAAAACGGTTCAGCTCCGGTTCAACTCCGGAGTGAAAAAATAAAGGTTCAAACCGGTTCGAACCAGTTCGAACTCATATGTTAAAAAAAAAAAAAATTGACGACAGAAAAAGATAAAGTTTGCATGGTTTATAAAAGTGTTACATATAAAAAGCAAAGGCTCACATTACTGTGTGGAATGAACGTGCTATTGCTGGGGCGCCTCGGGACGAGGGTGCAATTGCAATTCAACGTCAGGCAGCTGACCGAAGAAGCAGGACGTCGTCAAGCATATCCGGGGAAAGACGGCACCTCTGAGATGATAAAATGAACTTCAGTGCAGAAAAGGCTCGCTCCACGCTGACCTGGGTCCCAGGCACCCCCGGTGCTGCTTGCGCCAATGCGTAGAGTTCTGGATTGCGTTCCTTCCCTCCTCCCAAAAGTGCAACACGCTAGCGCCCCTTCAAAGCCGCGGCTCCTTGTCTAGCATTTCACGGAGGCATGCTCTATCAAGTGGCCTACAGGTACCTCGAACGCTCACGCCAGTCGCAGCTTTTTTTTCTTTGAGGAGCGCTTCCAGGGCGTATTCCGGATCTTCTGGAGCCACCGCAGTTTCAGAACAGAGAGTCGAATTTGCTCACATTGCAGAGCTGTGATCCGCCTCCAAGTCTCTGTCAAATGCAACGTGGCCTGGTACTTTTGCTCAGCGGTGAGAAGGCGGTAGCGGGGATCCACGTACACTTCTGCACAGAAGACATGCGTGTCAAGAAGTTGCCGCTCCCTCTTTTTCATTGACTGGACCAAGGCGATTGCTAACGGCGACGATATCTTGGAAGACTCCATGGAACATCTCAGCCATGCTCAGTAAAAATCTCCTTCAGTGAGCCACAGTATGGCAACTAGTGGAGGTTCTAAAATATTCATCGGCCTTTGTATCGCTTTTTTATCCGATCAGTTGTACAATGAAATCAAGGCGTTTAAAGTAAATTGCACACAACTCCACAAATTTGAAGACAAGCTAAAACACTAAACAGATATCAAACTGAGCGCAATAAAAAAAATGACTAAAGAGGTATAGACAATACTAGGCGTGTTGTCTATAAATCTCTTTTATCTTCTTTTTTTTTCTGGCGTTCAGTAAGAGATGAAAAACCAATAGCCCAATTCACCCTTTTTCCACAGAACAGGCTCATTAATTGGTCATTTTTGCTGACGTACGAATTGTGTATGTTATAGTGATAAATTTATTTGTTGAACCATTTCCGGTCCTCCAGAAAGTGGTGGGGAAAATATGGGCATTCGTTAAGAAAATACATAATACCACAAATAAGGGAGAATTTATAGTTACTGTGCTCAATTTACGTGAGTTCTCGAGACAAACTTTATAAATTATCAAGACTACCGTTATGTGAAAACCTGACAATGGAACGTTGCAGAGCTTTCCGGTACTTATTTTACTCGCTTTTTGACTTCCCACAGGAACGACACACCGCAAAAATAATTTATCAATTTTGTCCAGGAACGAAAAAATAATTATTTTGTTCCGGTTCAACTCCGGTTTCCGCAAAAATTATACTCAATTTCTTTTTTTTTTTTGGTTTCTTTTTTAAGTTATTGTGTTTTTCACAACGCACTTTTCACGCGACCTGTCTTCGCGTATGAACGGAGAACCACTTGAAAACATATCGGTACCTCTCCGGAGCAAAGAAAAGTTATTTCGTTCCGGTTAAACTCCGGTGTGCGCGAAAATAACGCTTTTTTCCGGTTTTCGGTTCGCGGTTCGGGTTCGGTTCAATACCCTGCCCCCGAGTCTTGGGCAGTATCGCGATACTGTAACTTGTTACTTTTTTCATAACTTCTAACTGTAACTCGATTAATTTTTTGAAGTAACAGTAACGCTAACTTACATACCTTGCTGAAAAAGTGACTAAAATTATCTGCAAAAGATACAAATACTTTGCGCGAAAAAATTACTTCATTTTGTTAACGCCACAAGCGGGTTCAAAAATATGCGGAGGTTGGGCGCAACGTTAGACGGAACAAATTAAAACAATAGCTCAACTTTTTTTCGTCGGAGCAAAGTACCAGAGCAGAGGGAAGACATTTCCTAGCGCTGTTTTTGTTTTCTTCATTGCATGAAAAAGGGCATTTATTATTTGCTTTGTTTCAACCTCTTCGTGCGTGGCTCTCTCACCTTGTCTTAACTTTTTCCGGCCTCATCTATCTTAACGAACACCCCCGCCTCATCAGCCAAGCGACGGAGCCAGCTCGCAAAAACACGCGACGCGTAGATACCTGGGGAACAGTTAAACGCCGAACGAGTCTTTGTCGTCGGTGCCGCAGCAGTCGCGACGATCGCTTTCTTTGCGAAAGCGAGTCGCCGCCAGAAGGCACTAGCTGACCGGGGACACAAACCAAATTTCTACTGGTCGACTTCCCCTTTCCCAGAGGCCATGAGCCCGTGATCCACGGTCGGGTCTTTTGTACCACGTTGCATTGAAGAAGTTAAGGAGAAAACAGAAGCACATTCCGAGATGACTTTATGTTGTTTTTGTTCGCTTCTTTCTTTACTTTGTTTGACACTAACGGTATTTTCTGATTTATTAATGCGAAAGCATTAACTATCCCATGTAGAGAAGCCGGCGGCGTCAATAACCGCGAAAGAATTGCGCAAGAAATGTCCATTCTTCCATTGGCTGAGCACAACGGCTCCTAGATAGCCATTGGCGGCCGCTTCACGAGAGTGGGCGCTTGGCCGCCGCTCTCGTTTCCGGCGTTGCCAGAGGGGGGTCGGGAGCTGCGGCCGCTCCTGGCCAGACTTTTACCGTACCCATACGCCTCGCAAGTGGGCTCATTTTCGTCTTCTGCGCATGAGAAAGGAGGCGCGAAGGCGGGAGAGGAGGTTGGTGACGATTCCGACTAAGCTCCGCCCTCGCACATGTCGGGGGAGGCCGGTGGGTAAACAAACATCGGCGTCGGCCATGGCGGCCGTGTTGTAGCGGCGACCGCGAGTCTTTTATTTATTGTAGCCCGGTTAAAATTTGCCGAGTCCACAAGATCGAGCAGCTTTGTGCCCCTTACGATTCCTCCGTCGTCTGCTAGAGGCATTTCGAAGATTCCAAGATGAAGACGACGAAGAGCATCAAAAAGAAGGCGCTTGCCTAGCCTCGCGATTGAAACGCCGGTTGCGCCGGTCACTACGAGACCGCCGCCCGATTGTACCGGTAAGTTGCCTTTTATCTTGTTCTTCCTTTACGAACACAACGGATTTTGCCTTGTAGCAGGTCTTTATAAATCTTGTGTGGCGGAGTCGATAGGCGCTATTAGTCGAAAAACGGCCGAGAGTGTAGCGTTTTCGCGATCCTCCGAAGCCTATCTTCGCAGGTGATATTTAGGAATATATACTCGTCATTTCGACTCGAAGCTGCACGGAGGCCGTATAAGCTATGTTCCGTTTCATTTTAAATGCGTTCGAAGTTAAATCTACATGGGCGAATCCCGAGCTTTGATCATAGCTGCCATGCATGTGCGATCTTGCAGTACAAGCGCTGATCAGGTTCTCGCGTTTGTAATTTTCGCTTCGTTCGCACTTAGGTGAGACGCAGTATAGTCATACATCGTATTTGGTATGAGCGATGCTATATGCACTACGTAGTGCACTTTGGACGGAAATTGCTATATGCACTACGGGGAGAGCTCATGCCGCTCGGGCCACCCTTTTTCGAACTGCGCGTGTATCACTGGGGAGCTCGTTAACACAGCCCCCTGCCTGCGTTCACGCCGCTTCGCGGCGACAGTATGCGGCTGCTAATTAGAAAAGTTAACCAGTACACGCCGCTTCGCGGCGTCCAGCCGGCAACCCAAGCCCCGCTGTCCCCAATCTGCGAAGTCTGCGAAGTTTCATCGACAGCATTCGGTGTTTTTTTTGTTTTTTTTAGTGTTCATCGCAAAAAAGAAATATAAATATCGCCAAATGCCTCGACAAAACAACGTTCAAGAAAAAGAAAAAAAGAGTTTTCCAACCGGTGGCTATGCCACCGGTTGGAAAACTCGTTGTGATCATTCATTTTATACGAGACAAACGTAGTGCATATAGCAATTTCCGGCCGAGCTGCACTCCAGAGTGCATATAGCATTACTCATTTGGTATAGTAGTTGCAGTCTACGGTTGTAATCATGGCACTGTAGAAAAGCACACAGCTCAAAACTTACCGCAAAAACGCGATCGTTTTTTTTTTTTTTCTTTCGGGAATGAAGTATGAATGGCTGTTACGTGTAATACAGTGAACCAACTCGGACAGTACAAATTTGCCGTTTCACATTAGCCAGTATGAGTGAATTGCCGACGAAGTACCGATGCCGCCTTTCTGCGAAATGTGTTGCGCAGTGTATCTTGGAACCACATCGACGCTGTCAGTGTCTGACGTGTTTTTGCGTGTCGCTTGTCTCTTTTTTCGTTCCCATACCAAGATAAAAATTCGGAGATCGCGCACTATCCAAGCCTAGCTAACGAGCGCCCCATGGAATTGACACGGGAGTAAACAATGACTAACATGTACATATTTTTGTTCGCTCAGCAGACTGGGTCAAGCAAAAGCCAGTTATAAGTGACAAACTTTCTAACATCATTTGTCATTTCTAGGTCCCAGATGGGCTGTTGACATCCAGAAACGCACCAACAGATGGTGGTCATACAGCGATTGTGAAGACATTCCCATTTGGATCCACATTCCTAGTCCACTCATTGATAATCTTTCCTTGTTTCATCAATGCCCAAGTATGCCAGGTGCCGAGTGACTACTCGCATGTGTTAGTGATGGTGGCATGCGAGGCTTCAGTATTGTCGCTGCAGATAGGGCTCACCCTCACACCAATGCTGTTTTGGTGTACCTTTCCATGGAATTGTTTGGTTGATTCCAATTTCCTAGAAACGCCAATATTCAGTTTGGTGTGCCTTGCGGCTGAAATAGATTCGTCAAGGAGGTCTCGTCTCTTTCATGGAAGTAACACCATGTCAGCTGCTGTGCATGAGCCACTTGGAACTGTTCGGACTGCTCTAAAGCACTTGTGATTGACCTTACCTGTTGTGTCCATGCTGAAATGTAAAGTTCACTGAACCAAGTTTTACTAATGAACAAACACAATCAGTGGAAAGGTTGAATGGCTTTATTTGTTTTCTCGAAGTATATGCTATTTCATACATAATACATGATGCTGGCAAGGCTACTTTCATTAGCATGCAGGCAACTTAGTCTACATTTTGTTTCACGATAGCTTGGTGAACTGTGGAGGCTACGGCTCCTGCGACCCAGTAAGAATGTCGGAGCGAGGCACATGGACGCATGTCACAGAAGCGTTCGTGTCACCGCGCCAAATGCAAGAACCACCCGGCAGAACTGGCTGTCGTCTTACAACCACATGCTCAATTTGCCCATGAATCTGTGGCGGGTGCTAATGCTAGGGCGATGTTTTGAGCGGAAGCGGTCGATTCACGGCTACAATTGTTTGAACTTCGATCACAAGCCAAGTTTTTCTCAAAAAAGTGTTGATCTATTTAAGTGTCGCTAGTAAGTAACATATGTCTTCGTCTTTCTTCAGTGTCGTGTAGTGTTGCGGTCCGAAAAATCCGACGGCAACACTACTAAAAGAAGAAGAAGAAACAAAGCCTAGAACTATGTTTTGTCGCAGATGGCGCTCTTGCTGTGGCAATAACGAGGACTCGACCGTGGAGTGTTGTCACGTGCCTGGCTCCGATGCTCTTATTGGGTCGCAATGTTTGCCAAGTTACCGAGAAACGGAGTATAGTGTCTCACCTGTACACGCTATAAAACAAATGAGATGCCAGGTGTAGCAACTCACGCAGCTGTAGCCCTTATATTATTCTTTGCTATGCTGTTCGGAAGAATACATAAAAAAATCAGTTTACAAAGCCGAATCTAATTTTTTGCCCTCTTGCATGTTACAAAAATAAAAGCATCACGCCTGAACACCAACATCTGTCTCTAAATTATTCCTTGCTGAAATGAAAAATAAATATACAGTGAATACGAACCAATACAATCTTAAACAGGTTTAAGAATGGATATGATTCAATAAACAATTATTTCAATCTGCAAGCTTGAAATCAAAAATGTGTGTGCATACTTGACCCTAATCTTTCGACTATTCCCCGTTTACACTTGTTCTCGAAGGATAGAAACTTCGTCGATTTAACGACAGTTCAAGCATTGGTCAGGCGACATGCTCATGTTTATAGTTTCGGCTGTGCTATAGGAATAACAAAGGTGAGTTGTGTATTGCTGAGTCAAAACAGAACTCTCAGGTCTAAAAGGCTTCTTAAAAATGCACTAAATCTGGTTTTGACTTCATAATTACATGACTCGAACATAAACTACTCACTTCAGCAAGTCTAAGAATTCACAAATAATCTGTGAACATGTATTCTGCTTTTATCTTCATTCACTTATGAAACTGATTGCTTATATAAAATATGCAATCAGTCTTGCACACCTCCCCATTGCGAGAAGGAAAAGGGAGACTCGTTGGCTTTTTTTTTCTCGCCGGAAAGCAGAAAAAGAAAAGGAACAGGTTTCAATGTGCACATTACGTTGAAGTGGGACAGTTACGGAAACAAATTCTGCATCTTCAGTATTCATGAAGTAGGCAGATTACTTTCAAGTCGTAAGAGGATAAAGTCAGAAACAACTTCAGCTCGCCTTCAATCAAATTTTCCCTTTAGATCCAGGGACGTTTCACCTTCATAACGTCATCAGTACCAATTGGCATCCATTCAGGACTGTAATGGTAGATGTACAAGCTTGACCTCAAGGTCGCAGTGCCCTCCTTTCATCGCCTTGCAGTGCGACCCCTCGTGCACTTGGTCCCAGATGGTGAAGCTGGTGCTGGACAGGATGTCGTCCCCTGTGAAAGAGTCGTCCCAGTAGTCAAACGATCCGGTTACACTCTTGAGCAGCGTATTTGTCCTCCCATGCCATTAGCAACTGAAAATCAGTGAAACCCTATTTTTTAAGCAGCAGAATGCATAAATGGACATGTCTATTCCATTCCCTTCAAACCGAATACCTGCCAACATCCAAGGGATGCAAATCAAAATAAATAGCATTGTATTATTTGCTCTTTTGAGACTCCTTGAACTTAAACCAACTCAAACACTACCACAATTTTAAAGCTCGGAACTTCGAGGACACCTCTCCATATACTGAGATTACATGCTTGTCCCACTCCTGGCTTGTCCTCAGCAGGGTTGGCCAGCGTGTCCTCATACTCCTGGGTTTTTAGTCTTGAAAGTTAAAGCTTTGGTTTTTGTCGTTGCTGGTAGATGCTGGAGGAAGCTTGTACTGTTACTTTGAAACATCAAGTTTGCAAATTGAACACTAACCCGTATTGGTGGTTGAATACAGAAGCTAGATTTGTCATGTCAAGGAGGTTGTCATAAAACAGTGGGCACGGGACTGAAATTAGCGGCGGAGTGGGCGACCGAGGCGCATTCGGGAGTATCAAAGAAGACAAGGTGTGTGAGTTTTGCGCGAAAGCAGGACGATCGGCCAGAGATGTGAGGATGTGGCGTCGAGAAAATTTGAAACGGGCTAACTGCAGGACTGTTATCTGAGCTACATTAACCAGAGGAGAAGAGAGAGTAACAAGTGAACAACACTCTACGGCCGAGGAGGTAATTGACCAGGTTATTTCACCCAAGCATCACAGTAGTCATTTCAACGACCAAGAAAAAAACGTCCAAACATCAGCACAGCAATACCAGCAGCGAGCCAAGGAATCGGGTTGTGTGTATGTTCATACAGTCTCGAACTTGATCTGCCTCAACGGGCGATGAGTCTCCCAGCTGTAGATGACCGCTAGCCTGGGCCCCTTAACGTGCATCACGTAGCTGTGATACACGACCGCACGCCAATACAGTGCTCATCCAGATCGAAACGGGCAAATGTGGGGATTGAACACACGATTCTGGGTTCTGCAGCGCGAGCTTTCACTCCACATTTTCCGAGCTGGTGCTTGCAAGCCCCCTCGGCCACCACTTCCCCAGTGCCAGGGAATAACATATAATAAATGACAATGGTACAGTGGTCTGCAACAGGTAGCTTTTCAGTGCCTTGAAAAACCAGGTTGAGATCACGTGACACTTTCCTGCCATATGTGGCTTGCAAAATAGAGATGCATAAGTCATAAAGCGAGTAATAATTTGATTTTGTTTTTACTAAAGACATCAGCATCTGTATTTGGCTTCCACAACTTCTGAAAGCTACCTCTGAGTGCATAGAGTGGTTTCTTTCATAATCTTACCTCCATGGAGAACTTCCCAGCTGGTAACGGGGCCGTGAAACGCAGACCCCCGGAAGTCGCACAGGCGCCGAGGGCATTATACAGGGCCCTTTCAGTAGCCCGGCAGCCGGTGGATTCTGTTGGAATGATAGGGTAGGGGGAACACAAGCATTTGCAGGTTAACGGACCTCAGAAAACTAGTAGGCAGGTACGAAAACATGCTACTCGCCCCCGCAGCGTTTGCCTCACTGGCACTTTATGGTGAAACAAATCAGCAGCGAGCGACTGATGGAACACGCGTCAGAAGAACAGTTCGTCTTGAGTTTAACACCCTATAGGACGGCGCTTTATCGCGTGCGTGAAGCATTGGCGTAGCCAGGTTTTCTTGGGGCCGGGGGGGATTTCGGGTGCGAGGTACTGAACATCCCCTCTCTGGCTACGCCACTGGCATGAAGTGACATCGGATGTCACTTAGACACAGCGCTATCACTGCTAAAATAGGCTACCATCGAACACTGAGTCGTGACTGCGAAGTTTATGACCCACATACAGATATCCTACCACACTATCTGTTTGGACAAGTGGCATACAATCTGTCGAGGGGGGGACAGACTAAGAGAGACAACTGCGCACTCGGCTCGGTCGTACCACACCGATCGCCTAATCCGCTGCTTTTTCGTAACATTCCGTTTTACTTTGCTATACTCCTTTCACGTGCAACTGTTTGTGAATGATGCGAACTGTACAGAAACGACGTAACTCACCTCAGCGAGCGCCATGGCGCGGTTCTCCGGGTTCCAGCGCTGCGGGAGGTCGGCCTTCGAAAGCTCGGCTGCCCGTTCAGCCCGCCGAAGAGGGCTGTAGCTACACTTCGGTGCTTCACGGAGACACCGAGACACTTGCTGGCGAAATGGGGTCCCCGCCAAAAAGTAGAAAGGCTCACTCGCGTCGCACATCACCGTGCTGACGTTCGGGGGGCTCACATCAACATCTCACCGCCGAAGACCGGGACGCATATTGGTGCTTCGTATGCTCCCAGGGTAAATTCTATCGCGTCAAACGAAGTAACGTACATTTCGAGGTATTTCCGGTCTCTTTTTTCCGTATGCCGCGTCTTCGTTCAAGCACTAGCAGTGGATTTCCGAGAGCCACAGAAAAGGCCTTCCGCAATGGCTGCGGAGAAAAGACGACACCGCTTTGTTTACCCCCGAGCTCCCGCCAGCTCCCGCCCGGAGCCATCCTCCAATCAGAGCGCGGCGAGGTGACGTCACGCCAGCGGCCTGCGCGAAAGAGCAGACGGCCTTCCCTCCGTATTACAAGTAATCAATTTACTTGTAATCAATTACTTTTTGGAGTAATTTTGTAATCAGTTGATTACTTTTATTAGGCAGTAATCACAAGAGTAATCTGATTACTTTTTGAAGCAATAAAATTACTTGTAACCGTTACAATTTGTCCACGGCACCCCCCCCCCCCCCCCTTTCCGGCACACGCCTATTTTTTTATGAAATGACAAAGATAAAATTTGCTTTTTTTTTTCAAACGGGAAAAAAAAGATTTCTGCGGAGCTGTAGGAAACGAGGTCAATCTCTTTCTGTGTACAGTTTCTGTGGAATGTCCGTTTTTTTTTTTTTTCGAGCTGGGATTGGGAGATGGAAGCCCCAGGGAAGCCACAGTGCGTGACAAAGGCCATTCAGGGCGAAGTTTGAGGGAGCAGAATGTAGCTTTGTAAGTCCTTCGTTCAAACTACACTCTAAGAAAAGTCTGTTCGTCTACTTTCACGCAGACCACTCGGAGAGCCAATCAGCGCAACTTACGGAGGCAGCTCAGCGAATGACGATGCCGAAACATATGTTTAGACCAAAAAACGCAGTCTGAGTTGTGACATTAAGCAATGGAAAACGTCACGCTTGCATTGCTTAGTGTCACAACTCAGACTCCGTTTTTTGGTCGAAACATATGTTTCGGCATCGTCATTCGCTGAGCTGCCTCCGTAAGGTGCGCTGATTGGTTCTCCGAGTCTTGTCCATAAAAGTAGACGCACAGACTTTTTATTAGAGTGTAGCCCCTTCACGCATACACACACAGAAATAAAAAAATAAAGAAGTCCAGCTTAGTGTACCTACTCGCAGCCCGTAGGAGAACCAGAACCGAAGAATGCCTAAAGCGGATGCAAAATATAACAAAGGCAGTTGAAATATTTCCCCATTTCCCCTACGTGGTCTTTGTGACAAGCAATGTTCCGAGTTGAGAAGTGGTCGGGGCGAACTCTTCCACTACTGGATACTACACATGATTCGTTTCAAATCCTGGAGCTGCTGCTCTTTTGTATAACATGCGAGGCTCATCCACATGCGAATAATAAAATGAGCGACGCAAACTTTGAGCGACAACCCTTGCTCAAGCTTAACAAGATCTAGAACCCCCCCCCCCCCCCCCCCCCCACACACACACACACAGTGGCGAACGCCCAAATTATTAAACTTCTTCAAGCGAATTCTATGCTTGTGTCCGCACTGTGAAGGCGCAACGACCACGAAGAGGGAGCCAGTTTTTCTTCAATACTTGTGCAAATGTGAAATATACGTTGGAAGTAGTTCATTGTTATGAGCGCTAAAGATGTGTCTTCACACAATAAAGTAATCGGAAAAGTAACGATTACTTCTTTAAGTAATGTCCAATTACTTTTGCCGTC